GGAATTTCCAAGGGGTGGGGTAGGGAGGGTCTGAGGAGGGTATATTGTGTAGTACCAGAAAATATCCATACCTCCCCCACAGAGGGGAATTGGAATTTCCAAGGGGTGGGGAGGGTCTGAGGAGGGTACATTGTGTAGTTCCAAAAAATATCCATACCTCCCCCACAGAGGGGGATTGGAATTTCCAAGGGGTGGGGAGGGTCTGAGGAGGGTANAGGAGGGTACATTGTGTAGTTCCAAAAAATATCCATACCTCCCCCACAGAGGGGGATTGGAATTTCCAAGGGGTGGGGAGGGTCTGAGGAGGGTATATTAATTAGTTCCAGAAAATATTCATACCTCCCCCACAGAGGGGGATTGGAAATTATTGTACCTTTCCAGTTGCTCGACGGCTTCTTCAACAGTGAGTTCCCCCTGCTTTACCATTAACATCAGCGTCACTCGATCTTCTTCACCCATCGTGATATTACTAGCAGGTAGGTCACTTCCCGCTATCGGCTTGGTCACATACATATCATTATTAAGGCTTTTAGTGTCATGAGATTTGTCTTCATGACCTGGACTTTTTCTTTTGCTGCTTCGAAATAATCCAAATATTGATGAAGTATGTTTGGGTTTTGTCGTCTGCTGATCTTTGTCTTTTGTCTTTAGCTCCGCTGAGTTAACTGAAGAAACATTTTTATCAGAGGATAAGGGGTATTGAGATGGTTGGGAGTGTACATGGAGATGTAATGGAAATAGAAAATTGAGTGGGAATTGAATAGGATTGAATAGGAGAAGGAAAGGGAGCAGAATTAAAAGGCTGCTAGAGCAATGAGAGTGAAGGGAAACTAGAGCGAGTAAAAGGACAACATTTTAGGGAAGTAGGAAAAAATGGAAAAAAGGAGTATGAATGAATGGAAGTGATACGAGAGGAAGTGGAAGTGAAGAAATGGAAATGGATAATAAAAGGAATGGGAGAAAAGGGAAGGGATATTATAAAGAGTAGGAGTGAGTTAAAGCAAAGGGATACTAAAGGGAGTAAAAAGAATATTAAGTGGAAAGATGGGAGTGGACGGAATATTATATGGTATACACTGGGTAAGCCACGTATGACAGATGATTGACATGTTCCCATTTCTACACACCATGAAGTTCCTTAAGTGAATCCAAACTTCTTGATAGCTTAGAATTTCTTTCCACTGGTCGTCTTCTCTTGCCGTTCTTGTGAGGAGATGACGGACTGTCAACATCAAGATAATCGGCAGGTATTYCTCCCTTAAAAAATAACAAGAGAAATATTGAAATGATTGAATAATATTCTCCAACAAATTTCCCAGGTATATTTTGGGAAAAGAGTGCTGTTGGATAAGACAGAAAGTGACTGATCTCGTTCTATTAACCATTTTGAGGTTGAAGGGGAAAATGGGTCAAGTTGGCACTGCAGTGCATTGTGGGGCTGTTTGAGGGGACATTTTTAAGATGGCATCTATTTAGTCCTTTAAAACAGTCAWCTCTGAGATTACTAGAAGAGATAACTAGCTAAAAGCTAGTGTGAGATGTCGGTGTTTCTAATGAAACAGTAATGATAAAAAGGTAAATTATGCACCGTGAAAAGATGAAAAAACTGATGTTTCCGACGCTAGTCCTTTGTTTGAGATTACTATATGCCAATGGAAACCACAGCATTCCATAAATCTTACCTTAGCATTTAAACTAGAAGATGAGATATGCCACTTATGATTCTCCTTGGTATGAGCATGTAGAGGACTTGTGTTGCTTCTCTTGTGTTTATGGTTTTTTGATGGTTTCGATTCAACCWTATCATACGATTCATCACCTTCCTAAAAACACAAAAGAATTGAAAATTTTCAAATTCAAATTGGGAGCCCCCTCTTGTATACATGAGACATTTTTAGATCCCCCCTTCATATCCTCATCACAAAAAAATTTGGTACCCCCTCCACATATCTTCATCACCCCCTCCCCCTCGACATATTAAATGAACTTTCCCTTAGATWTAAAAATTTCTTACCTCCTGATTACCCTCTATTTGTGATTTCAAATCTCCAACCTGACGCGCTCGTATRTTCTCCAATGCCTCCAGCACATCTTGTTCATATGTATAAAACTTATCTGCATATAATGTAACTAGACTATCTAGATTCCCACAAGCACCATTCTGAAAAACATATAGGGAATACAGTTGATTCCTGATACATTGAATCTCTTGACTGGTCACATGGACTGGTCACATGGACTGGTCACATGGACTGGTCACATGGACTG